ATCCTTGCATTCATATTTTTTAGATTTGCTTTTACAGGGTGGGTCAAAAAAATTAATGAATCAGTCAATTTATTTTTGATCAAATAAAGAACGAGCCGTGACTTTCAGACTGAAAGCAATTTCATTAAAATGTCCCGTCACAGAACTCTAATGAGAAGAAACTATGATTGACATAGAGACACGGTTCTGAGAGCGAGGGAAGTACTGTCTAAACTCTTTAGACCAATTTTTTTGAAAATACACTAAGTTTTCGGACGGTTGCCAAACTTGCGCATTTACGAGGACATCTCTTAACAGTAAGGAAGTTTGGCACACAGGAGAACTTCGTCTTTTTCAACTGCTGCAAATTCATCTAATTTTTTTTCGAAGTGGCCAACATAATTATAAAAAGAACTTTAACAAATGTGTTATAAATTAATATTTTTACTAAAAAAACTGTATTAATAACGAGGGTGCCAAATTTCCTGAATAGTAAGAAACATTTTCAACAACACATTTAAAATGTGAACAGTTTACATAGAAAAAAGGACAGAAAATGTGTTTGTGTGGTTCTCAACAAAATTTCTATATTAACACAAATTTAAAGATGTTTTTTCAACCAATTTTTGCAAATAATTTTCACACTTTTATTTGTCACTCCACCAATTGAGAAAACTTAACGAACACTGTATAGTTTCACTGCCTCACAGAGAAGGTTGAAGACATCTCAAAAAATTTTATTTCTAGTTCACAGTTTTTGATAAAATCACCATTTACTCCAGCAGCTGACCAATACTCCTCTGGCGAATAGTCGACAGAATTTAAAGGACAAGGAATTTTTTAAAATCAAAAACTAGTGAAAAATTGAAACGTCTTCACTGCCCATTTTTCACTCAAGAGTTCTAAAGTCTTCACACAATTTCAGTTGTTGAGAGTATTCATAGTCTCAGTGGTTGATTGGCACTCCTCTGGTGAATTTTCTGCTGAAGTTGATGGATACAAAATTTTCTCCACTAATTAGAAAGTTTAATTTTAAACAAGTGAACATCAATACAGTTGTTCAACAATATCGTGTCTGAAAAACTTGTACTGGACTGGATACCAAACAATATCATTTTTGATATTGTTTCAGTCTTTACTCTCAACTCCGAAAACTCACTTAAATTTGATTATTGTAAATAAGTATTTATACGTGATTATGGCTCGATCGAGTAATATTATGGCAAAAATAATAGTTTGACTAACCACAACTTTTAAAACATGCAAATGCAATGCCTGCCATGTGAATGTGCGAAAGTTCCTTTTAATGAGTAACATGTTTCGCATGGAGGCAGCACATTGCAGATTATCGACAAGCAAGCCAGGTTCTCATATGAAATAAGAAAACGTGTGCAACGATGTCAAATTTCACGTTTATTTATGCCAAAATTCCGCTTTGATGAAAGTGGCAATTTGGCACAGGTGCGAAAGTAATAACCACGAAGTTACCGAATTGCCTACAATATGCATGTTTTCGATGCCAAATTGCCGCCTAGATATATATATATATATTCTATTTTTCTCTTTTGAGTTTTTAAAAGTTATCTGCATCTTGTATTTCTACCTGCGACTATTGTTTTTGCTTACTAGTTCTAATTATTTTTAATTGTTCTAATTTTATTTATAATTATCAAATTATATTATTTAGCACGTTGGTGGAAAAAGTAGGTACATACAATATTACCAAAATAGTTTTTTTTCTAAAATTCGTTACAAAAGCGTGGTTTTAATAAGGTTGTCGTTATCTTTGCCAAATTTGCATACTTCTAGCACATGCACAAGTTGATGTTACAATATTATCTAGTATTGAAAAGTAAAATACCGTAAGACACTATTGTTGACAATTGTCTAATGCTGGCATAAAAATTTGATAAGCAAATCTTAATTAAAATGCGAAAAATAATATGAGAAACAGGTTGTGTAAAACAGCATGCCTGCGTTGATATAGTTTTTTAATTCAGTATAGTTTTAATTTCAAGCATGATTTCAAAAGGAAAGACATTTAAAATCCTATAAAAAAATTGGTCAAAAGTTTTTTCGACAGAACGTCCCTCGCTCCTGAAGTACAATGAAACATATCGAGCATATTCGAATGGGCGCACCCTCAGAGGCGTCTGTCATTGTTTCTCTGTCATAGTGAACTTTTCTACCAATTGCCGATTTTATTTTGTATGTACCTTTCAATAACACGCCGTATAATTCTTATTTTAACATTATTATTATTATAAAGACATATTTTTCAAATTTTCGAGAAAATGGGATAACTGGTTCTTAATTTGATCAATAAAAATTTGTAATGAAGTCATCAACATGGATAATACTAGTAACAGCACAAAAGAAAAATAGTCACAACGTATTACCAGTGCAAGAAAAAAGAGCGAGACGTATATTAACTTGGATTGGTGCAATGTAATACTTAAAAAAAACTGTATTGAATTCCCAAAATTTTCTGAGAAAATGGAGTGAGCCGTTCCTGATTTAATCAATAAAATAAACTGACTCATTCATTAATTTTTTTGAGACACGCCGCATAAGCAAGTCTAAAAAATATTCATGCAGTGATAAATCACAAGTATAGACCTATCATATTTTGCACATCTAAGACAGGATTTATCCAACAATATTTTGAGGTGACGTCATAAATTTTTTAGGGGTGATGAGCAAATACATTTTGATAAAAAATTTACCATGCTTATGATAAATTTAAAACATTTTTAAGATTTCAAAGCATTGGGTCCAGCAGTTCTAGATTAAATCAATAAAATAAATTCATACATTCATTAATTTTTTTAGTCACCCTGTATCCGCAAATCCAAAAAATATGCCAGAAATGATAAATTACAAGGACAGACTCATCATATCTTGTACAATTTAGATAGGATTTATTCGGCAAAATTTTGAGCTGACATCATTTTTTTCAGGGGATAATAAATATATTTTGTTTATGTATACTATATATTATGTTTATCATGCTTATCATATTTTCAGTTAGCCTGTATAATCAAATCCAAAAAATATTAATGGAATGATAAATCACAAGAATAGACTCATCATACAGTGTGTTATGAAAGGTACGTACAAAATAAAATCGGCAATTGGTCTCGAAGTATGAATACTAAAAGTAAAAAAAAGTTCAGGTAAAAGTGTTCTCCTTTTAGAGATAAAAATTTTTAAAATTTATGTCCAAATTCGTTGTACGCCTCTAATAAAAAGATCATCTTTCGTTTCTATAGCAACATTTAGTCTTGACAAAAGTTGTATTGTTATAGTTGCTAGGATTTACTAAAATAAATTAATTTTACCTATTTATCCTTCAGTAGCGTATAAAACGGTTGGATAAGGGTTAATTTTCCCCTTATAATTTTGATAACACAAAATAAGTTTTTCCGACTTCTTAGACTTCGCGAATAACTGTCAGTTTTGTTGTACGTACCTTTTAACTATTCGTTAACTTTAACTGACGTTGGTGCCACCCTAAACCGCTTTTCACATAAGCGACATAATTTGAAATTGAAATTTGAAGTTAATAACTGAATACATAAATTGCCAAGCCAGAGATACATTTTGTCGCCCCACTTTGTCAAACTTAGAAAACTTTTTCTCTAAAGCAATTTAAGATGTTATAGTTCTAATTCATGAAATAAGAATAATAATTCACCGTAATTTACTAAAATATAGTCTTTGCCACTTCTATTGAAACACCACTTGTTGATCCTAAATTTGGCTACGTTCATATTCAGACAATTTTCTAACTAAAAGCCGTTGTCAATCAACGGAAAACTGTTTGCAATTGCCAAATTTTAGGCAAAATCAACAGGTGGTGTTTCAATCGAAATGGCAAAGACTATAGGTACTGTAACATAACTGTGCACTTTTAACGAGACTCCTGTACATACGCGCCCCTGTATTCTAAGCTCGCCCTTGGAGCCGTCAGCGACGCGCAAAAGCGAGTCACGAGTTACCGATCGATACTTCGTCCTTTCCGTATCCGAGCGGTACTACGTCAATAGTCCTCCAGGTGTAGAGTGGTGTAAAAGGAGAGATTAAGGTCGATAATAGATGGATAAGGTTCGTAGGGCGCAAAGGGATTTATTAGCCAGCGTCGGAGGACGCATTTTTGTTATTATCGAGTACTGTGAGTACTTATAGGTATAGTGGGGCTTCTAGTCCAAGAAATCTGGCCCAGCAGCACTACTTTTTATCGAGCGGTCATCATTTGACCTCGGTCGAGTTCGGGTATTGTTGTGGAGGTCATCGTCTTGTCCTCGGTTGACCTGAGGTCGGGTATTGTTATGGAAGTCGTCGTCTTGTCCTCGGTTGACCTCGGCCTAGTTCGGGTCGCGTCGTGATCGGTCGTGTAAACTCGGTCGAGGTCGGGTATTGTCGTGGAGGTCATCGTCTTGTCCTCGGTTGACCTCGGTCGAGTTCGGATAAGGTCCTGTCGGGTTCGGGTAGGATCGTGTCGGGTATTGTCGTGGAGGTCATCCTCGGTTGACTTCGGCCGAGTTCGTGTAGGGTCGTGTTGGTCAGGTATTGTCGTGATCGAGATGGTCGTGCAAATTTGCTAGTTTGATTGACAACGGCTTTTAGTTAGAAAATTGTCTGAATATGAACGTAGCCAAATTTAGGATCAACAAGTGGTGTTTCAATAGAAGTGGCAAAGACTATATTTTAGTAAATTACGGTGAATTATTATTCTTATTTCATGAATTAGAACTATAACATCTTAAATTGCTTTAGAGAAAAAGTTTTCTAAGTTTGACAAGGTGGGGCGACAAAATGTATCTCTGGCTTGGCAATTTATGCATTCAGTTATTAACTTCAAATTTCAATTTCAAATTATGTCGCTTATGTGAAAAGCGGTTTAGGGTGGCACCAACGTCAGTTAAAGTTAACGAATAGTTAAAAACAATCGCTGTTATCATTATAATAATCGTTTCTATGGATTTATTCTATCGTTAACTTTAACTTTATCTTTTTAGGCTATGAAGAAATAACTTGGAAGTGTCTGCTTATAGACGGATTTTCTGTATCTAGCTATTACTTTTTATTTATTATGGAAGAAATTTTGAGAAACTGATGATTCCTCCGTCGAACAGATCAAAATAATTTCAAGAACTTTCAGATGCTTGAAGTTGTCAAAACCTCATAAATAAACAGCCCAACAAGATTTTTGTATGTGTAGACCATAAATATTTTGGGACAAAGTAAGTATCTATTAGTGTAGTAAGTTTTAATCGTAGGATAGCTTAAATAAAGTTTTTGTGAAAAATGTAATAACTTTAACGTTGATTTCTCAAAATACAAATTGTTTTTGTAATGCGAAGTGATTTTTCCAATTTTGGTAAAATTGTTCGCAGCAAAAGGTACTTTTCTCCGGGGGTATTGTTTTTTTCCCAAACTATTTTTAATTTTTTTCAAAAAACATTATTTTTTAAGTACCATTTTGTTCAATAATAATAATGCAAATAACTGTTTGCACTTTTGCATTTGTCTATTTTTTTCAGTGTTTTTGAATTTTTGAATGGATAAATGTTCAAATGGGAGCTGCACTTATTTTACCTTCAGTAAACTAAAACTGAAACTGAAAAATATAGAAGACATTTACCTCCAGGATCGATTTCTTCTTCCCCGAACTTTCCGTTTTTCTCGTATTCTATTTCCTGAAGAAACTCTTATGGAAGTGGGTAAACCGTTATCAAAGTTAACAAGCTCCAAGCCCAGAAAACATATCTCTCTAAGTTACTCTGACCGTGAAAACCTTCGATCACCAAGAATTCGCAAATTTGTAAACCTTATTGTTTCTTTAACAAATTGAGAAAAACGATAGTTTTCTATTAAGTTATTTATCATTTTATTGTACAAAGAATTTTCTGTAAAAAAAATGCATCAATCAAAGGAAACCAGTATTAAAATGTTTAATTTAAAAAATAAGAAAATTTGTTGAAAACGACAAATGTTTTAAGCAAAATTTTGGTTGTTTTATGAGTTATGACCAAAATGACAAGTAAAAGTTGTATACTGTAGTGTGTAAAAAAATTATACACTAGTGTAACCAAAATATTTTAATTTAGAATGCTATCATCGTCGAAATTCCACGGGTTTTATACTTTTTGAAACCTGGTTTCAGGCTTTAATTAGCTCTATGAATATATGTACTTTGTTCAGAAAAACTTGTGTAGCAAGTGGGAAGTTACTGCCCAATCAACATCGCTCTTAATTTTTGTCAACTAGTTAACTTGATGAGGTTTAGTGAAACAATACTAATATTTTGTTTCTTGACACTCGAAATGAGTGATCTACAACTAGGCTGACATAAGAGGAAACTGTCATCAAATTAGCATTCCGTAACAGGTTGCCTACGTGTATGTTTGTTCAGCTAAATCTTTAACTGGGTTCTTTCTGCTTGGTGCATTTTATACGCCAAGTAAAATGTATTAGTCACCTTAAGTTAGGTTACATAATAAGTTATACAGATGTGTGTATTGTATTTTGTTGTATCTGTATATGATATTTATAGTTATATACATATGTATATATTGGAATTTGTTATCATTGTGTTAAGGTGCGATCAGCAACAATGCCCTCAAATTGGTGTTGACCAAACGTATAGTCTTAATTAACTCAAAATCCAACGCCAATTTGAGGTATGGTTTTTGCTGATTTTACATATATTAATCACTGTATAGTGGCATGTAAATATATATAAATAACGCATGAATAACATAAGTTTAGATAGAAAGAGGCTGGATTAACACACGTAAATTTATCCTATCACTTTCCAATTACAATTAGCTCTCTTGCTGCCTTGGTCTAAACTTTTGTTGTTTATACCATATAGTAAGTATATTATCATTGTAAATATATATTATACAATATTGTCTAATGCTATAGATGTCGTGGTGAATTGCTCTATTATTTTGTATTATTATGTATATTATTATATATTATATGTATATTACAAGATTTTTTGCTGTTTCCTGATATAGATAACTTCTTAAGACAACTTAGTAAGCTCCTCCTTACAGTCATTAAAATCTACCGAAATACGGCAAAACGCCACTTCTAACTAATTGCATATTATTTTGACGTTTCGTGGCTTCTAGAATATGAAAATCTAAGTCTCCTGATTCTACTTGTTACACTCGAAGAAATGGTTGGCCTAGAATAGTGATGGGCAGTTTATTGTAGACAAGTAATTTCAAATAATGTAGATTTTTCTCATCACTGGTGGCCTAGTGCACTAATGGCAGATACTTTCCTCATTATTTTCATTGTTCTAAAATCACGAGAGAAATATTTGTCAAACAGTACAACTCATTAAGGTATTTTGTATTCAGTTGTATAGATATTATATTATTATTTTTGGTAAAACGAAGACACAGAAAGAAGTTACAGAATTTTGGTATGAACAAGCCAAAATTTTTTGATGTCCCCTATTTTGTACTAGAAAAAAACTGCAGTATACTAACTTTCAACTTTATTTTTCGTATAATCCTAAACACAACAATTCAATACAACACGACTACTCTTACAAAATTAAAGTTCTATAATATGTTACAGGGCCGTAACCAGCACTAAATACAATATTTCTAATATGTATGTCAATATTATTGCCAACATTTGAAAATACTTCTCAGTCTGTATAAAAACAAACCAAACTACGAACATATTTTGTACCGATTGATTAACCGTTATTGTTTAAAATATTTTGATTTTCGCAAATGCACGTTGGATATGTATGTCTATAGTCTAGTAGACGATTTTGTTCATATACAGAATGATCGTATAATATTTGGATCGGGCTGATATACATATTTTCTTTATTAAAATTGGCCTTCACAAGCATTTTTAAATATGTTTTAATAGCGTTATTCAAGATCCTAGGGTAATTTAATAACAAGAAGATGAGGGATTTCGAGGAGAAGGCTAAGAGGGCTACAAACATCGATTTTATCATCTAATAAGTCTACCACCAAACGAATTACACAAGATGAAAGCCCTTGTTTAATTCTTTTTGTACTCCATTTTTCCAGGGCGACAAGTAACAAATTTTATGAAAAACCTTTCGAAATAAATATAGTTATATAGCGCGAATCAATTGACTAATCTAATTGACTAAATTATTATCTCGTTATGATGAGCCCTCTTGAAAAAAACTGATAACGTCAGAAAACGTTTTATTTGCTTTTGGTTTTTATAGCCTTGCGTCTTTTATTGAATTCTTTTTTTCTTCAAGTTTCTGTTTTTCTTTCATTTCCATGTGTTTCTCTGTCAGTTCGTTCTTCTTGTTGTCTATCTTTTCTTCGTTTTTAGTCCTATCGGCCCACCACTTTCTGTCTTTCTTGACTTCTTCGTCCAGGTCGTCTTGTGACAATTTTTCATATTTATTTCGGCTTTTACCCAGCAGAGGTACGGCTTCGAGCTGGGTTACGATTTTCTGGGCACATCTGCAAACATAATTTTGAATTAAGTAAACATTCATACACTTAACACATAATGCCGAGTGTAATATTGATATTTCGACACCCAGTTAACGTACTCATGAAACTTGTTTCCAGGTAAGTGTTTACCCTGTTATTTAAACGTGTATGTACACTGAAATAAAGTAAGCCAAAAATATGCAAATATACCTAACTACATGTAATTTTGTTCAATGTACACCATAACTCTGAACTGGAAAATTATTTATTAGTTCACGATTTGCAACAGCAGTAATTTCTTGTAGATCGATTATGAATACTGACATTGCATGCACATTTACTTATGTCAGAAAAATTTTAAATTTATTCATCTGCCATACCAGATGTGTCAAAAGTAGTGATTTTCTCTCTTAAAACTTGATGTTTTCAAATTAATCTGTTGGTATAATTACACTTTCAGTTGATTATAAATAATTTTAGTTAGTTATGAACAAGAATTTCCTTGTTACGTATTTGAAAAATCATGACTCAAGTTGGCTATGTAAAACTTGTCGTTGGACTTGAACTGAATTATTGGTTGCCTGCCTACCAAGCAGCAAGCACACTGAAAAAGCTAAAAAATATTAGGTTATGAAATTGATTGACGTTTATAGTGACACGTGACAAACAGTCATTAATCACCGTATCGAGGCGGTAAAATTCCCCAAATTTCAAAGCCAACTTGACGTACAATCTTTTATAATCACCTTGTAGTAATAATAACATTAATAATAGGCGTGCTTAGCTGAAACCTGATAAAATGTATAGGAACGAACCTTATCCTAGTGGAAGCAGGCGGGGTATTGTGACTGGGACTCTGACCGGGCAATTCTCGTATCGGCGGAAGTCTATTTATGTTTCCTTTTTCCGGATGGCAGTACTCCTGCAGCCTTATCTTCATGGCGTGCTGCTGAGATCTCCTAATGGCTCCGGTTGCCGGTTGCCTCGGGTAGGCTCCCATACAGCGTCCGCCGCAACATGACGAAGACTTCCTGCTACCTTCGGAAGAACAAGAAGTGGAAGAAACTGACGAGCCGCCACTGCTCACGCTGTATAAACTATCTGACTGGGGTACGGAGGATGCACGGGAGTTCACCGAGTAGCCGCTAGCCGAGGAAGGCAAAATGGGTCCTGTCTAAAAAAAATAAGAAAGGATAATAGCAGCAGAGAATGGAATAGTTTGCTATACGAATTGATAAAGTTTTTAAATAATTTAAGATAGCTTTATTTATTTAAAACAGTCCTGATTTTTTAATAATAGCTAGAGATTTATTTTGCGAGAATAACTTATATATTTTGTTATTATTATTAATATTGAACTGTACATTTTGCAAACGTATTTATTTATAAATAAATAATAAGTCGATGGGTACAAATATAAGTATTTACGGAAAGCTGACCCTAAAGTGACCAATCGAATTATCAACAAACGTTAGAATAGGTCCCCGTTTCCGTCTGTTTCTCTGTTTCTCTCATTCGTCTGTTGTCTGTCTGTCTGCCTGTCTATCGTCTGTGTTCAATGTAATGGGCAGATAATTTAGGTATTGACCAGTAAAGTGAATGACACGCGAAATTTGAACTCAGTTCATAACACGAGACCCGTATTTCAGTTCCCCGTGTAATCCTTATGGGTGAAATCGAGGCGTCACTTTAACGCTTAAATTGTACCATTAAAGTAATTTTCTTATATATCCCACTACCTGTACCATTAAGACTGATATTTTTACTGTTGATCTTGATGCCAAACGTGAACGGAACCGGTAGTATTTAATAAATATTTAAATTCAACTTTTACCACTACATTTGCCTCGAACGTATGTCGTACAGTGGTTCATACTGCCATTGACTTCCCCCTCCACATAAATGGCTTTGATTTTCAGATGCTACAGATACGGCTGTGAATTTAAAATAATACATAAAGGAGATCTTATATTTGCAAATGTTTTCAATCAATTGCCAAATTTTGATTTAAGAATCATCATCAATCCCAAGCTTTTTTCTTTTCACACATTTTTGCTAGAAAAGGAAAAACTTAGCATTCCTGATTAAACCTTTCATGTACAAGTAAAAATCACTCTCATTTTAGTACGAATTGGGTCTGAAACACCCATTAAAAAAAAAATCACAATTTAAAGAACAATTTATTTCAAAACAAAAAAAAGTATTTTACAATAAAAAATTGCACTTCCTAATGCAAAATCTGATTCACTTTTGGTGAAAAACTGACCCACAAACTGTTTTCTTGATGGGCCATTAAAATAGTCCTCGGACACTAATAGTTCTTCGACACTGTGAAGTAGATTTTCTTCAGATCTTTCTAGTTCAGGGCCCAATAGCAAAAGCAGTGCTTCGCTCCTATCAGTTTGTCCTAAGCTTTTATGAAGTTGTACCTCAACATTAGCTGTTTTTAGGCTGACTTGGGGATTAAAAGAATTTTCAGAGACAACAGCTCGGACCTCAGCTGATTCACTTTTCTTCAGATGTACGTCTCAAGCACGCAAATTATTGGTCCACAATACATTATAACGTCCGTGTAGGGCAGGTGTAGCCATATGATGATATACAAATGCACCTCTTGGGGTTTCATATGTTGCCTCTCTTAAGGAATATCTATGCATAATAAAACAAAATACGTCATAATTTTACTTGACACAGAATTTATCAATATACATTAACTTACCATAATCTTCTCGCATTCTAGCTCGAATAAACTCTTCAAGCACATTTAATTCAGTATACCAAATTGACTTTCGCTACATTATTTGACTGTAAAGAATTTTCTCCAACAAAAAAAAATGGCAATTGCCCCTATTGTTAACACATGTCTTTCTGTCATTATTAATAACAAATACAAAAAAACCAGTCCACAGATACATACAACCCAATGTGAATCAATATCACAGAACTAATATATCATCCAAAAATTGTGATTATGATTGTTTGTTGTGATGAAAATACGAAATCAACTGTCATATTTTGGGGATTTTCACGATCTAAACGTCACTAGTACCGCAAAATATTCGCGTTCTTTTTCTTTCCCAAGTGTTTCTGGATTTTCCGTTTCACTCATGCGCAAGACGTTAGAAACGATGTACGTTACTTCGATGGATAGCGTTGTTTTTAATTTGCAATATATCTTTAACAGAAGCTTTTTATATAGTTAAACCTTTAGTAACAGGAAGATAATTGTACAGTCTTTATCGCTTGTAGCATAAACTAGTTAAGATTTCTACCTATGCGGCGTATTTTGTCTGTAAAATCAAGCTCCCATAAGAAACCCATAGTAGAATTTTTGAATTATGAACTGCCGCGCATTCTAAATTCTAACCTTACTTTACTGGTCAATTGACATTTTTGCGAATAAATTCAAACTGTGTAACAACTTTTATACTAAAATAAAAAAAATGCCATTCATACGATCGTATAGCTGAGTTTTTGAAAATATAAAAACAAGACTTTGAGTTTGGAGGATGTTTTAAATAATCATAGTTAAACTGGTATTTCCAAGTTTTAGGCAACCAGTAATACTCAACTGCAAAATAAGAAAACCATTAAAATAATGACATGGTGTAAGTAAAGACAAACCATTTACTTTTCTAAAATTCTAATTTTATATATAAATTGTAATAATATTACTTAATGATAATAATAATAGAAGTCATAAATGGGATTCTTCGTAACTTAACATCAACATTTTGGTGGATGCGCCGGGATATTAAAGTTGTTTCAAAAATGCCTACCAATGCACAGCATACACTTTTAACAACCCCTTAATGTTGCAGAAAATAGTCTTTTCCACTTACATCATTTTTACTTTTCAAGAGACCACAATGTGTACCTTGCAGGATGATAGAAATTGGTGATTCTAAAGACTTGATACTAAAATTAACTACCATATCCAAAACACATTAGAATGTTACTGTGATCAACAAGAAAGCTTGTATGAAAACGTTTTCTTTAAAAACACAATAATTTTACAATAATTGTTATTTATGCAACAAGTTGTGAAATCTAACGAGACAAGTAAAACAGTTCTCTTTTTAGATAAATAGCTTACATTATTATTTTTTTCATATAAAACCAGTAAGCGTTTCTTTCAACTCTTTCTTAGATCGTTTCCGCTTCAAATTCTGCAGAAGTTTACACTATAAGCCGGGCATTAATTTCCGTTCAACTTAGTAATTTAATGTAGAAATTTCTCATTGAATACAAGGAGCCTCTCGCACAAACAAGTTTCGTCAAAGAATCAGGAAAAAAAGAAACTATCTTTGAAACATCGTCAATCAATACATAATCTGTGTTTTTAATGAGAATTTTTATAGTACACTTAGATATACAGATGGGTTATTTCGATAGGACTTCCCTAGCCCCTTAAATTCAATTCAAAAATTCCGCCTTAAAACTATTTTTTGTGATAATAACCTCTATACATTAAAACAGATATAGACAAATAATACCAGTAACAGTGTACGAAGCTAAATGACATCCGATAATGTGTTTTATTAATCTATATTTTTTTTTGTGTTTGTTTACGACTCCCAATTTTTTTTGATGACCAAGCTATTTATTTCTTTTATGATAAAATATTTTGAGAAAGAACAATATTAACGTCTTATTTTGAAAATGGTAAGACTAAAGAATACAGATTTTAGTTTTTGAGAAAAAAAAATGAGTTTAATGTTATAAGTTTAGCAATATCATGGCTAGATGGTAAGGATTGGGAGAAAATGAGGAATTCATTACCAGGAGATTTCATATCGAAATGCCAAACAGTAAAAAAAAAGGGAAGAGCAATAGGGGTATTAAAACAGAAGTACAAAAGGACATTCCGGAAACGGAACAGGTTAGCAGAAGAAGAGGAGGAGGGGATTATGGAAAGAAAAATAGTGGTTAATTATTATTAGTATACTTATTATTAAAAATATGGAATATATTAACGGTTTACAGCAAAGAAATGAGGAATCTTAAGAAGCGAAAAATAAAATAATAGAAGAAAATAACAGAAATTGTATAATGACAGGAGGAGATTTTAACGCGAGAGGAACGTTACAAGAGACGAGATTTGAAGATGAGAAGACAAGAAAATCAAAATATACAAAAGAAAACTTAGAAAGAAGAATTCTCTCGGAAATAATAAATAGAAATAAAGAGAGCGATAAAGGTGGAGAATGGACATTAGTAGGAAAAAATAGAAAATTAGTGACAGGGGAAAAAAATGAGTGGAATCATTTGCCATATCTATAGAGGATTACGAGAGAAGAGGGCAAAAACCTGGAGAAAAATTGTTCAACGAAAAAATTTTAGGTGAACGTGAGAGACTCCTGTGCCACTGGAGAAAGAATGAAGCTAGAAATCAAGAAAATATACCGAAAAATAGGTAAAGAACGGAAAAAAATAATGAAAGAAGAAGAAGGTAAACTGAAAATAGTTAGATCGAAAAGGAAGTATAGTAATATAGGCCAGGACCATATTAAAAAGATCTTTAACTTTTGTATTTACACTTTTTTACATAACCTCTAAATTTATGCGAAAAATCCGAATAACCGAGTTTTTGGTTTTTTGTTTTTATCTCCCACAATTTTTTTTTCAGGAAATTTGGTGAAAACATACCTATTTATGTCCCAAACTCACTGTAATTTCTTTGATTCAAAATATTTACTTTTCCCCTTATTTTAATTTCATATCAAAAAAGCACCCTAATTTCCAATCGAAAATTCTGACGTCAAAATATCTGCTTTTTTTAAAAAATCGGTGTGCTTTTTGTTCGTTGAAATCTCTACATTCTGATGCGTCAAAAAAATATATATTACTATGGCAAAGTTTCACAGGAATTCGATTTTTTTTTAATCAGCATGTAAAATTTTGTGCAATTTATTAAAATTTACACTTTAATTGACTGTAATTTTTTTTACTTTTTACCATTTTCAAAGGCTTCGGCTCTGGCCTAATAGGAATATGTAGATATATATAAAAAGAAAAGTCCTGATTCACTGACTGAGTGAGCCCAGTCCAAATCCTTAAACCTAGAAAGCTAAAATTGTGCACGGAGGTTGTCTTTAAAGCTAGATTTTTCGAAATTTCTGCCCTTAAGGGTTAACATAGGGGAAGAAATTTTTAATGTTCGTTCCGTCTTCCGTCCTACATTTTCAAAGCAAAAGCTTGAAATTTAATGTTTAAGCTCCTGGTTAGACATTAAACACTTACCTGTTTCAACATTTTCAGAAATTCCACCCTTGAAAGGGCAAATAGGGGATGCAAATTTGTGACTCGCGTAATTTTCGAAACAATAAACATGAAATAAACATTTACCTCTTTCTGAGTTTTCGGAAATTGCACCCCTAAAGAGGTAAAATAGAGGATGAAAGATTGTAAGGAAGTCGCATTTACTTAAAAAATACTTAGCACTTCTTTAAGTTTGTTTCACAAATGGATGATATTTAGTTAGTCAGTCAGTCCGTTTACTTTTTTATATATACAGGGTGGGTCACTAAGCACGCATTCCTCGATACCTCATTAATTATTATTAGAACTATTAATAAAGTCAAATACCAAACTTATACGGTTCTTTGAGGATTATACTCTAAAATTATTTTTAACTATACTACTATACAGAGTGTTCTACTTTTAAGGCATAAGATACAAATTATTTTTTTAAATTAAACACCCTGTATATCTTCACATATTTTAATTGACCTCTTCTTAGACTTTACAATCACAGTTTATTTTGGAAATTACGACGCGACGTTGCTACTTTATTCCAATTTTCTTAAAATGGTTTTAGCAATTTTCAGATACAGAGTGTTTATCACAATGTTTTCATTATTATTTCATTTTATTCTATTTTTTGTTCTCTTTATTTTTGCTGAGTATTTTCTATATTAATTCAGAGTTGATAGTTACAGCAATTTTTTACAATTTAGGAAACACATCGACATATTAGAAAAACGAGAACAAAAAATAGAGTAAGATGCAGTAATAAAACAGAGGATGTTCCATTTGAAACCACTGAAATATCTATATTTGAAAATGGTAAAGTTATTTTTTATAAAGGCTTATCTTCATTTATTTTTTCACAAATTATTGTAAGACTGATTTTGAAAATAACTTTATATTTCCAAAAAATTTCAAGAAAATTGGTATAACGTGACAACGTTGCATCGGAATTTCAAAAATATGTAAAGTTATATAGGGTGTTTCATAAAAAAAAAATAAGTTGTGTGTTACGCCTTAAAAGCAGAACACTCTGTATAGTTAAAAATAATTTTAAAGTATAATCCTCAAATAACCGTTCAACTTTGACGATTTTAGTAACTCACGCTGTATGTATAGATGTGTTTAGTGATATTAACTTTCAAATAGCAGGTAAACCATAGATGCCGTATATACAGGTGAGTCACTAAGCGCCTATTCCTCGATATCTCATTGACAGACAGAAAAAAAAAAATAGGTGAAGACTAAAGCTGTGCGGTTCTTTCAGGGCTATAATCTAAAATTATTTTTAGCTATACAGATTGTTCTGCTTTTAAGGCGTAACACATAACTTAGTTTTTTTTTAATGAAACCCCAGTAGTTATATAGTGGGGCTCCTAGGCCAGGTTAAATGAGGCCTACTTTTATCGAACGTTTTGTCATCGCCTTGTGCGCGGTTGACCTGACTCCGGGGACGGTTCTGTTTTCCGCAGACTCAAGTTCTCTCCTTACTATCATCTCATCATATAGAGTAATAAGAAAATACAGATTTATAAATAAGACATTTTAGTGTAGTCAGGTTGACCGAGCGGTCTAAGGGGTCAGATTTAAGCTCTGATTCTCTAAAGAGAGCGTGGGTTTGAATCCCACACCTGACAGTTCTTTTTTATCGAATTATAAATTATAGTCTAAATAAAATAGTTAAGTGTAGTCAGGTTGACCGAGCGGTCTAAGGCGTAGGCTTCAAGATCTGATTCTCGAAAGAAAGCGTGGGTTCGAATTCCACACCTGACAGCTTTTTTATGTCTGCATTTTGCCTAGATCATCACGAAGAATTCAAATTTGCGGTTATGCAAAATTGTATTTCCCTTTGAAAAATGCATTTCGATATTTTTTTTTGCATTTAAATAAAACACATTTTATTGATAAGTTATCTTTTGAGAAAATATAGAATACTGTCAGTTGTAAATATCTTTAGCATTATTTAATGAACAGAATCATTTTTTATTAATACATAAATGATTTATCAGTCAGTCTTCTATTGCGTCCAGAACTCCAGACTCACAATTTTATATATTTTTAGATATTTTCATTGACTTCTTCTTAGGCTTTGCAACCACAGTTTATTCCAATTTGTTAAAAATAACCCTCTTGCAAATTTTTTTGTGAACCCTTCCATTGCTAAAAAAATTCAACTGGATTAGAATAACTTGACAACGTCGCAATTTCAAAAATAAATTATGGTTATAGAGCCTAAGAAGGGGCTAATGAGTAATGAGAGTATCTAAAAGTATATAGGGTATTTCATTTTAAAACAGAACATTCTGTATAGTTAACAATAATTTTAGATTATGGTCCTCAAAGTACCGTCCAACTTTAATCATTGACGGTTTCCTTACGACATAGGCCGTGACATTGAACTCGTTCCTCGCACATTCTTTTCTCTTCGTCGACTGTCACAACTCTCTTTACAGGTAAACAACGAATAGAAGAAGAGGCACAAGAAAGAGAAGTGAGATTTAATAATATTACAAATAATGAAATTGAAGCCCAAATAAGTATGGATGTTCGGAACGACAGGTATGATTGGCAGGCTGGTGGAAGTAATGAATGATGGGTGGTAGGGAAAGGGTTTCCTATGGAAGTGGACAAAAGGGCTTATATGTCTCATCCATAAAAAAGGGGACACGAGTAAAAATACAAACTACCGGGGGATATCCCTTCTAAACATGATTGCTAGGAACAAAGAGAAAAAACAGCAAATGGTACTGGATTAAAAATTAAACAGTCCAAGTATTTGAAGAGACAAATGACAGAAAATGTGAAAAAATGGTCACTCAATCTTTTGCAGCGTCACATAGTTTTTTTTTTTTTTATTTAAAAACACTACCAACACACTTTATTTAATCGATACAAGTATTCATAACAAACTATGGTATAAACTTCATTCCTATACAATAATGTAAGACAAAACTGGATAAAAATGTACCGGAGGAAAACGTAATAAGAACTATTTTTTTAAGGATTGACCTTAGACTTTTATTGTAGATAATTTTTGAAATTACTAGTTGTGGGATAATGTATTCACAATTTCCCGTCCCCCAAAATTTGCCGCCGTGGGCCCAGACTGAGCAACGAGAACCCACGTTAGAGCCAGCGACTCTAGGCGACACATGCCAAAGATTTCAAAATAAAACCCCAACTTACTTTTAATCTAAGAATCTTCGCCCTGCATATGACGCATCTCAGCGGAAGCAGCCTTTGCGAGACCGCTATCTGGATGGTCTTCACGAAACACTTCCTGCAGACGACTTGATGCCCGCAGGGAGCTGTCTGCATTGTCGCTTTAGCATTGATGCAGATTACACACTAGAAGGAGACGATATTATTTTTAATTAAGCAGAAGAAGCAAAAAGTAATTACCTCTTCTTCTTGGCATGTCGCCAGTTCCGGCTCGCTCTCCTCCAGTTTGCTTAGCAGCTTATCCTGAAACAATACAGGCGCATTAATGGGCATGAAGCTGCTGTAGAATTGTTAGGTTTTCAGATACAGTGTAGTTCATAATGTCGTAATCTCTCAAGAGAGGTCATGCTTCATGGAAAAATAAATTGCTCGGTGACGGCTTACTTGGCTTCGTTGTCGAGCTGTTGAAGTGGGTGATAAATCAATTTCGTTCGCTGTGTTACTTTCGTAAATGGGAGGGCGGGCTTATTGTAAATTATGGGTTGCAATTATCCAGACTATAATTTATAGATGAGTGGTAGCAAAACGGTGGCAGTGGAGTGCAATTATTTAGCTACCTATAAATAAAGTTAATAAAAGTCGATATTTAATTTTCATTGTTTACTGGTTGTTAGTCAGTATAAGTGATTGTTAATGTCTGACACAAAAATACATAGAAGGCCATTATGCACAGTGTTGGGGACAGATACTTTTAAAAGTATCTGATACAGATTGTTTTCGATTTTTTCGAAATGTATCTAGATACAAGATACAAGAAAACAGATACTTTTTGAAGCTTTGGCGAATAAAATAACTGAAAACATGTTTATGTATTGTTTAATGAATTTTTACTTCCCGAGCGTAAGCAAAGGGAGTATTGTAATCGAGTCCATCGGCCGACTCTCTACTTTAACGTTTTCTCGATCTTTCATGACTCCTAGAATACGAAGAAATAGGTCTCCCATTTCCGTCTGTCTGTCCGTCTGTCTGTCCGTCTGTCCGTCTGTCCGTCTGTCCGTCTGTCCGTCTGCCGTCCCGGATTTTTATTAGACAGATAATCTCCGAAACTACTGGACCAATTGTTGTGAAATTTTGTACTTATATTAGGAATATCATGTAGATGGTAAAACGCTAACCAAAATTTGTCTAATCATCCCCACCACTAATGCGATGACGTCACTTCAAAATTGTACATAGTAAATGGGTCTTAAATTGTATAAAATAACATAGTCCTACACATGTAGCTTACGACTCCGAATTCAGTTTTTACCCGAAACGTCCAGATTTTTGGAAAAAAAATCAAAATCATAAAACAACATTTTGCAATTGAATTTTGAATCTGCTAACCCGAATGTTTTAAAATGTTGCAGATGTTTTAAGGCTCTAAAGAGCATCATAAATCTTTAGTCAAAATATATTTGGTTATCCCCTCCAAAAACTTGATGACGTCAGCTCAAAAGTTTGCCGAATAAATCCTATCTAAAATGTACAAAATATGATGCGTCTGTACTTGTGATATATCACTCCATTCATGTTTTTTGGATTTGCATATACAGGGTGACTCAAAAAAATTAATGAATGCGCAAAATTTATTTTACTGATTTACTCAGGAACTACAAAACCGAATACTTTGAAATCTTAAAGATGTTTTAAAATTATCATAAGCATGGTAAATTTTTGATCAAAATGTATTTGGTCGTCCCCTCCTAAAAAATTTATGACGTCACCACAAAATTTTGCTGAATAAATCCTATCTAAAATGTACAAAATATGGTGAGGCTCTTGTTGTGATTTATCATTCCATTCAAATTTTTTCGATTTGCATATACAGGGTGACTCAAAAAAATTAATGAATGCGTCAATTTATTTTATTGATTTAATCAGGAATTACAGAACCGAATGCTTTGAAATCTTGGAGATGTTTTAAAGTTACCATAAGCATGGTAAATTTTTTATCAAAATGTATTTGCTCATCCCCCCTAAAAAATTGATGACGTCACCCTTAAATTTTGCTGAATAAATCCTATCTAAAATGCAAAAAATATGATGAGTTTGTACTTGTGATTTATCATTCCATTCATATTTTTTAGATTTTCTTAAGAGGTGGCTCAAAAAAATTAATGAAGTCAATTTATTTTATTGATTAAATTAAAGGCAACACTTATTATTAGTATTACATTGGACTAACCCAATTTGGTAGATACAAAATTTTTTAAAGTAAAAACTCGGTTGAAACATAAGGGTAGCACGCTTATTTACATCGACTTTAACATTACAGACGTGCATTTGTTTTATGCGCTGTCTTGGTTCCGCGAATGTGGAATAGACATGTTTATAATCAACCAATTGTGAATTCCACCGTCAAAAATTAAAATAAAACCCAATGTTTTACATAATAAGCGGAAGTCGAAGCAATAAAACCGATGGTCATTTTGTTTACAGTTTCTCTGTTTGACTCTCACGTATGCTGTTACGCTTGTCATCTTAAATTAAGAATGTTTATACATAAACGATTTTCAGTTGCCTCTCATATTACACACCGGCGCCGTATACGTGAGTAAATTGTTTCGTTATTTAATTGATTATAACAAATCAATAGTCAAAACGACCCAATTCATTTTCCCGAAAATTTGGGAATACAATAATTTTATTCTTAGTATTACACTACATCTATCCCAACTGATATACTTGTCCTTACAAAAATGTTGATGACGTCATCGCAATTTTTTTTTAAATTCCCACTACAAAAATGTAATGAGAAAAAAACACAATAGGCATGCAGTCGTCAAGTTTCCGACAGCGAGGGAAGTACTGTCTAAACCCTTTAGACCAATTTTTTTGACGAGCAAAAGCAATCATTGCGAGGCAAAAAAAGACACTTTAGAACCGAATAATATATACTATTTTTTCTCCAACCGCAATCACGAAACTATTTCGTTTTTGCTTTTGAACAATTAAAATTAACCAAAAATTCGTTGGAAAATAAAGTAGCCTATTTCGATGTAGTCATGGAAAATTTTCAAACATTATTAGTAAAAGTAACACTTTAGCTCCTAAGATAAAAAATGACTTGTTTGTTGCTAGGATGTCATCTTTTATTATCTGAGTAAAGAAAACGTTAACCTTAGAGATCCCTGACAGTCAAAAAACGTCATGCTTTTATGACGGTTGGAGAAAAAATATTTTACTGTAGCATAATTATTCAAGACTGAAAAATCTTTTCTTTTTTCCTGCAAATAGGCCATCGCTTCGCTGTTTGATGTGTCGCAAATTGTGCAATATTTATTATGTACGCTTAAAAAGAATATTTTTTTTGTTTTTATTCCCATACTACAGTGTCCAAATTGTGTTTGAGTATATCTAATGATTTTCTCCAGCATTAAAATTAATATTTCAAAAGAATACTGGAAATGATTATTCTGTGCTGAAGGTCTGTTGTCGGCAACCTGTCATAAATTATTATTCAATATCGGCTTACGATGTTTTTATGACCATGTCCGGTAATCGTCTCTCCCGATGGGGCAGGTATATACATTTTAGGAAGAATTGCTGGTTCCGCAAAATAAGTACAATTTCTTAGAAAGGTATTTAAACCCCTTATAGGATCAAAGGCTGCCTGACAGGCCGGAATCACCATAGTGCAACTTTAAATTTTCAAATTTTTGTTTAAACTCATTTTATTTTAATCTCGTTTCACGATTTCTGAGAATACTTATATCACGATAAATTATTCTACCGAGGGTTGTAAAAATATTAATTTTATTGCCCAAGATTTACACTTAAACATAATCGGCACATTCTAGGACAAAACGGACCTGCCAAGCCCGCCTCGCGTTAGGTCCAACAATGAAAAAGTGAAGAAATGACATATGTGGCAACAAGAAAAGATGCTACATTTGTCTGAAAAATAAAGTTACAGTAAAACCTGTCTATGCCGGAATCGCGCGGGTCCAAAATTTTTATCCGTCTTAAACAGGGTTCCGGCTTTTACAGGAAACCCGGCTATGACGGAAAGTAAACCTCTATAAAACGGAAATCAATTTTTATTAAATTGAATACATAGGTACATATAAAAGAATTATTTGAAATAGTCGTTTAATGGTCTTTGCTTCTTCGGCCATTGAGATATATTTTCCGTACTTGTTCTCAAATGCAAAATGTTGGCTACACGCTCACCGCTTTGCCATTCTTCTCTAATTTATTTTTGGAATATGTTTTATAATTTGATACACTTGCATTTTTTGCAATCGAACTTGTTGTAAATTTCTTTAACACTCAAATTTTGCTGCTCGTGTACATTAAATCCATTTTGCTGTTATTGTTGGTCTTTTTTTGGGCCATTGCGAACCCACATATAACCACGAGAGACACCAATTAAATGAGAATTGAGAACAGTGATTTTCTGTTGACAAAAAGTGCACCTGCAGGTCTACGAATTGAATTACATATTTTTCATAGAAATCATCAATTTTGTTCTCGCTTCCGTTTTACACAGAGTTGGGTGCATGTATTTTGACACGTTGGGACTTACAAACATTTTCCGTTTCCGCGTTATGCAGTTTCCGGCTTATACGGACCAAAATACATTAAATTGGGTATTTAAAAAAACAGGACTGCGGAAAATTTCCGCGATGAGCAGTTTTCCGCCTTCTACAGAGTCCGGCATAGACAGGTTTCACTGTATAAAACAGTAGCAAATATGCGATTTATGCCAGAGAATTGTATGTATTGAACATTCGATTAGTCGATTACAGAACTAATTTGTGCTAATTGAAAAAATTAATCATTATGTAACACGAAATTATTATTTTGTAAAAATAATAACATACCCTAAACAAATATTTTTACTATTAAAATTACTCTTATTTAATAACACAAATACAACCAGCGGGTCTACCGGACCCGGGTTGCTCAGGTACATTGCCTTGCCCCGATAAGAGTAAAACGCAGTGAATAGTGAATTGCAGTTTATGGTTTTTAAAATACCATCTTACCATAGCTTAGATTTATTACCCCTCAGGATTATATTTATTTAAAGATGTATAAGTACTGAAGGCTACAATGTAGGAAATGATGGTATTTAAAATATGAAAATTTCCGTGACAGAACACTATTAGTGGACTTCTTACCTCTATTTTTGTTTATGTCACCAAAATTACCAACATGAAGTATAAAAAATTACTACTAGTATAACTCAACCAATAACTACTGAAAAAAAGTGAAATAAAAAAATGTATCTGTATCTGCGCCATTAATTTTGTATC